TGACCTTGCTGATTCAATGTCATTAAGCAAGAATCGTTGGAGCACCTCTAACTTTGTATTACATATTCATCCTGAGGGCCCAATAGGACAGCAACAGTGTTATGGTTGTTTGTGCCCACACGATATTAAATGTGATATTGGGCACACAGTAAGAACTTAATACTTTTAAACTTGCCTCTATGGCCAGTTGCAGTGGCTCATGCCTGTAATCCCAGCACTTTGGGAAGTTGAGGTGGGAGGATTGCTTGAGGCCAGGACTTTGAGGCCAGCCTGGGCAACATAGCAAGACCTCATCTCTACAAAAAAAAAGAAAAAAGAAAAAAAAGAAAAATTAGCCAGGCATGGTGGCAGATGCCTGTAGTCCCAGCTATTCAGAGTTTGGGGCGGGAAGATCACCTGAGCCCAGGAATTCAAGGCTGCAGTGAGCTATGGTCACACCACTACACTTCAGCCTAGTCAACAGAGTGAGACCCTTTCTCAAAATAAAATATGAAATTACATTAATAAAAGTATATAATAAACTTGCCTCTAACAATATCAGTCAACTCTTTAAGTACAACCCCACCCAAAGTATTTCAGAAGCCTCAACGTTCAAGGGAATGGAACCTTGTGAAAGCAGAAAGGCGCTAAACTCTCCCAGGAAGCCCCTTCCTCAAAAGAGATTTCCAATCCACTGGGAGGCCAAGACCACTGGAACAAGGCGAGGAGTTCAACTGAATAGAACGTTCAGCTTCTCCTGTGTTTGCTCATCAAGGGCCCCTCCCCCATCCTCAGCAAGAGAAACGCTGCTACTAAAACCCGCAGGATCCATCCATCCACCCATCAAACAGTTGGTGAGGGCCACGTTCTATGCCCATGCCAGGTAAAAGTCTAGGCATTGGGGATATTGTCTCTGACTCTAAGAAATCCACAATCATCATGGGAGAGCCAGACATGTAATGAACCAACACCGTGCAGCATCTCCCATCACCACTCGTCAAGGGAGACAGGCCAGGAAACTGAGGAACAGCCCCCAGGAGTTAGGTGGCCTTCCTGACTCAGACCTTCTTCATGTCTGATCTGGGGACAAGCCACGCCTTTCTGAGTTTCCGCTTTTATTATGCAAGAACGAGAGTGGATGCTGCCTAACCCACACAAGGACATGGAGGAGGATGGTAAAGAACATATAAAGAATGCACTGTGAAGTACTGAGAGCAGTCACATCTCTGAGACAGAAGGACTCAGATCTAAATTAGGCAAAGCATCCAGAAACAAAATCCAGGCAGTCTGGGCCCACAGTTAACTCAGCATCACCAGCCTTTCCTCTGGCCGGGGCCACATCACCTCAGCGCCAGAGACTGCTATGGTATTGTCAGGTCCATGTTCCTCCAGAGGCAGTGGGACCAAGGCTGTGCAGGCCGGGGAGAAGCTGTGACATGCCACATGCCCTGCCCCTCATATCGCTCATCCCCTGACCTCACTGGCCTCCCAGGATGGCTAATCTCTCTGCCTGACCGCTGGGATTCAAACTTGGTTCTGATTTATTTTTCTGCTATAATTCAAACCGAAGCATACCGAAGAATGACTACATGTTAAAGTCAGAAATTTTAGAAGAGAGAAAACTGTAAGAGGTCAGTCCCACTGCTGGCTTCAAGCAGATGCCCGTCAACCAAGAGAGGATTTAGTCTAATTTAAAATACATTCAGGGTACGAAATCCCAGGGCTTTTCCCTTGCCACCCTTCTCACTGTCTCCTGCTATCATCAGGAAGTTATTTATGATTTTAAAAAGAAAAAGCCCAGCCTGGGCAATATAGAAAGAGCTGGTCTCTACTATACTTTTAAGAAAATTTAAAAATGTTCTTAAAATTAGCCAGGTGTGGTGGCTCCTGCCTGTAATCCCAGCTACTTGGGAGGCTGAGGTGGGAGGACTGCTCGAGCCCTGGAGACAGAGCTTGCAGTGAGCCGACATCATGCCACTGCACTCCAGTGTGGGTGACAGAGTGAGGCCTTGCCTCAAAAAAAAAAAAAAAAAGAAAGAAAGAAAGAAAAGAAAGAAAAAGAAAAAGAAAAAACCCTCTGTCATATTGCACTTAATGCCATTTTCTTTTATCCCAGCTATCCTAGACTGCAGGTCAGTTCATCAGTTATAACCCCTCCTCTGTTCCTATCCTCCTTTCTTTGGGTGAAACAATTCTACTTCCTCAAACCTATTCTCTGAAGTTAAAAATCACTTCTCCTACAACATCCCCACCCAATCTTTAGCTCTCAAGGAACAGTCACTAATTGATGTATAACTCATTGTACCTTGGGACAATTCTGATAGTTTTTATTTTAAGCTCAAACTGTTTCCTGTGGCTTCCTACCAGAGGTCCTATCCTACTCCCTTGTGAGCCACAGAACAAATCTAATTTCTCCTCCACGTGACATTTTCACGTGGCTCTCATGCCTTCTCTGGACCTACTGGACTCTCACATTAACATGGCTCCCTTAGCCAGCAATTGGATTCCTTCTCCTCTGAATGGAGTCCGGGTGATCTCAACTTTCTTAACTATGAGGCCCAGACATCGTTGTAATACTGCAGAGAAGCGGTCTGAGCAGCTCAGAATAGAGCAGAATCATCACTTCACCTGCTTTGGAAGTCATAACACAAACATATATTTTCAGTCATTTTCTGAATCAAAAGAATCAAGAAATTACTCACTGTTCCTTTATGAGTCTCTGGGTATAGTGCTTCAACTTTATCCTGTAGGCTAAGTAGGGTGCATATTCCTCCAAGAAGCAAACACCCCCCACCACTTCCGCCAACGAGACAAATCCAAGTTTCGGCAGAAGGATGAACAATTTTACCCCAACTCAGGTTACACTATAATTCTGAGTGTTTTTATAAGTATCTCTAGGCCAGATGCAAAACCACAGACCTTAGGAGTCTCTTATCTGGACACAGGAATGGTGTTTGCATTTTTAAGTGGCTGAAAAACATCTGGAGAATATTTTGTGACATGTGAAAATGATAGGAAATCCACATTTCAGAGTCCATAAATAAAGTTTTATTGGGAACACAGCCATGCTCGTTTGTTCATAAATTGTCCACGACTGCTTCCACTGTGCAAAGCAGAATTGAGTAGCTGAGACAGCCCGGCCCACAAGGCCCCCAGTATTGACTATCTGGGTCTGTACCAAAACAGTCTGCTGGCCTCTGGTCTAAACAGAAAAGACCTTGAGAAGGTCAAGGGGAGGCTGCCTGCATCCCAACCACTGGGGGAAAGGGCTGCATGGTTGTTCTTGTCCGCAGAGGAAATCTGTAGGGCCAGGAAACAGAGAAGCGGGGAGGGGGTGTGGGAGGTGTTTAGTTTTAGGCTTTTTAAAAAATTATTATTAAACAGAGGCAGGGTCTTGCTATGTTGCCCAGGCTGGTCTTGAACTCCTAGGCTCAAGCGATCCTCCCACCTCAGCTCCCAAAGTGCTGGGATTACAGGCATAAGCCAGCACACCCAACCAGGAGTGTTTCTTCTAGGTGATGACAGCTTTTATTCCTTCATTCTTTCCACAAGTGCTTGTTTTGCAGTTGCTTAAATGCCTACAGAGATAACCGGACTAGCTGATTCTCTACTCCCCACCCACCCCCAATTCTCAGGGGGCACTACCTTTTAATCATGGCCTTGACGTTATCAATCTCCTGCTACAAGTAGCTCCCAAAAACATTCCTTTCCCTTACCCTTCTTCCAAGGCCAGCTTTTTTCATCTTGGTCCCAAACTTCTCTAACCTGCCCAGCACTATCCAAGGCAAAGGCTAGAAATACGACCACTATTCAAGGTCAGCTGCGGAGGGAGGAAAGGCAGGAGGTAGAGGAGCGAGGGGGTCTCCCCAGAGCAGAGTGTGTGAGCAAGTGTCAGAGAAGAGGCAAAGATGGCTTTCTCTAGCCCTGCCTGAGCTCTTGGCTGAGGCCCCAGGGAGAGAGCAAGCTCCAAGTCCTCCCCCAGCCCTCCACTTCCTAAATCAAGCAAATAACTAACAATGCGAGGAGGTGTGGGGGAGTAAGGCCCAGCCACTGGGTAGCTATTTTCTCAAAATACATAGCAAATCTCTGTGCCAAATGCTGGCTAAGCCAAAGAATAAACAAATCCCTTTATTTCTCTGAGATGAGAGCTATCAACTTCCTCTCTCATCCTCTCCTTCTGCTAGCCAGATCCATCTGTCCTATGGCCCTCTCCCTGTGGGATAAGCAGTGTCTGTCCATATCTTCCTGACCACAGCTCTGGCCAGCTCCTACCCCCGCCTGAGGCACTGCGGAGGGAAGCCAGCAGGTGGGGAACAGGAGCACATGGCCTGTCCACACCTCCCCCAGAAACTCTCGGCCAGTTCTCCATGACGTATCGTGCCACTAATTCATTCCTCTGCCCTCCTTTCTCCAAGTTAGAGGGCCCTGAATAAGTCTTGCTGGACAAGGAGACCATCATCACCCTCAACCCAGCCTTTCCCTCCAGCCCACCCCAGGGCCACCCCTCCATGATCCAGAGCTCAGCTCAAGCAGTGCTACTATAGAGGGGAAGAGAAAAGGCTAGGAGGGGAAAAGAAGGTGGCATCTCTGCAGCATGATGTCACACTGGCTGCTTTCGGATCCCCAGAACAGAAAACAGAAGCAAACAACATGGACTCCGGATTTACTCTGCCTTGAAAGGTTTGTGTTCTTGGCAGCTCTGAGCAGCCTGCGTCAGATGGGAAAAGCACACAACCAGAAAGACAGGTCTTCACCAAAGCCCCCAGGGCCCATCCGGACCCCAGGACAGAGCCATCCCTTCCAAAAAAATCCCACGAGGAAACAAATATAGACTCTCTCACACACACACACACACACACACACACACCACAAGCGTCAGCACGAGTTAGCACTAACCTGGAAGCCATTAGGTAGGAACAGTAGCAGAGTGCAGTGCAGAGAGGAACTCATTCATTCATGCATTGGGCAGTGGGGGGTGGGGGCGGGGAGCGGGGGCCCTGAGGAGGCTGGAGGGCACTCACCTCCATGACCATCCCAAAGCCCTGTTTCTAACGGGGGAGGGGACTCGGGCCAGGACTCTCAGAAGCTGGGGGCGCTTCTTTGCTCTGCTGTTTCACACCGCTGTGGAATTTTAAGCATGACTCCCCTTTATTTCCCTCTCCCCCACCTCCCTCTGCGGCTGCTATTTGGTGTGGTCTTGCCGCCTTACAGAAGTCCCTCTCTCTCTCTCTCCCTGGCTCCCTTTCTCTCTCTCCTCTGACTCCCTCACAGACAGCTGTTCTGAGCTCAGGCACGCACGCGCACAGGCGCACAGACACACTCAGACACGCACCCCTCTTGCGCGCAGACACGCACACGCGCACACACGCACACGCGTCGCCTGCCGGTTTACATAATGCAACTCTTTGGTGCAGTCAGCTTGCCGGCGCTCAATTATTCATGCCAGCGTGGAGGACAGAGCGGCTGGGGCTGCGCGGGGGTTATTTCCTTTTCATCCTCAATCCCACAAAATACAAGACCATGTTCCCGGGAGACTCTGCTCCCTTCACTGCCACCAATTATTTCCCAGGTGCTGCCCACTAGGGTGACCTATATCAAGGAGGTGACACTAAATAAAAACACAGGTGCCTGACTCTAAAGAGAGTCATGCATCCTTCAAAGGATGAGGGCTGCTCTCACGGCCTGAGCCCTGGGAGAGGAGGAAGAGAGGAGACCAGCACTGAGACCACAATCCACAAGAAAAGATGGCCGAGGGCCTCTTCAGTGTAGCAGCTCCCAGACTTCCAGGATGCTCGCCTCTCTGGCAGGTTGGGCTGTCACAGACGGCAAGAGTAACACTCAGGGAAAGCACTTACATTGGTGACAAAGCAGAGTCGCCTGAGTCTTCTAATTCGAAGCTGCACCTTTCTTAAAAGTGGTTTTTTTTTTTCTTCTCTGTCCATTCACTGAAATGCAGTATTAGTACTCAGACAGCCCCCAGAGGAATGTTCTGGCAGTGCGAGGTATTCTATTCAGCAACAATATTAATACTATTTTGAAAGTCATTCATGGTTTACAAAGCATTTTGCCCACATTCAATCATTTCATTCCCACCACAATCACCTAAATACTGACCTGTTTAGTGGATCTGGAAGCTAAGTCCTGGAAAAGCGAAGGTCCCATGTAAGAAAGAGGCAAAGCTGGAAATCCAGATCACCTGCCTCTAGACCCATGGCAATTAACTAATTGTCTCACACCCCAACTATTTGAGAACCACTGTCATCTCTTGAGGGATGTAGCACAAAACCGACACTAACAATGAAGATGGTTAGCTCAGTGCTTCGGAAACTTTAATCCCCTAAGAATCTTCTTCACCCATAGATTCTGAAAGAGCAGGTCTAGGGGACCACCCAAAAGTCAGCCTTTCTAACAAACCCCCAGGCGACACCCACATTGCTATTCCAGGACCACCCTGAACAGCAAATGTTTGGCTTATGCATTCTCATGCTTTGAATCTTCCAAAAAGACAGTTTTGTCTGTCCACCGCAGCCGCACAGGAAAACATGCTGAAGGTGAACAGTAATTATAATCCATTGATGTCACCTGCATCCTGCTCAAACTCATGCTGAGAGCTAATATTTCTTGGGCATCTGTTGGCAAAATGTCTCATTCTGGGAGGGCCAGCCCCTGCAGGCTCATCATGAAAAGCCTTTCTAGGATTGCTTCTGTCTGCAGCCCGTTGATAGAACAGCAGCCTCACAGTATCTGGGAAGCAGACAGGCCTGGGTTGTCTGTCCCTACCTCCGTTACCGAGAGGAATCCCAGTTCCAAGGAAAGGTATATTGGCAGTGCCCCAATTTCAGCCATCCCTCCTTGTCTGGCTCAAGTCCGACTTCTTCTGAAATGCCTATCTGGCTCTTCTCTGTTAATCCACAGAAAGATCTTGGACTAGAGTCAGATCTGGAACCAAAGTTGAGGTGCACTGCCTGCTGGTCACCCACCTACTCTCATCTCAGACTCAGTTTCTTCATGTGAAAATGCTAATACTACATATTTCCGCCTTTGTACTGTTGAACAGATGATGAAGTCAAGAAAAGAATGTGAAAGCTCCCAAGAATAGTTGGGTACCTCCGCTGCCACTATCCTTATAGTATACATTGAGAACTTAATTGCAAATTATGTTGTCCTCTGGTGGTTTTACATCCTGAGAAGATTGTAGGCTATTTTTTCTTTCATGTCCCTCCAGTATGTAGGAGTACTGGGTACACACATATTCAGTAAATATCTTTGGGTTGGGCATGGTGGCTCATGCCTGTAATCTCGGCAGTTTGGGAGGCTGAGGCAGGTGGATCACTTGAGCGCAGGAGTTTTAGACCAGCCTGCCCAACGTGGCGAAACCCCATGTCTACTAAAAATACAAACATTAGCCAGGCATGGTGGCACGCACCTGTAATCCCAGCTACTCGGGAGGCTGAGGCAGTAGGATCTCTTGAACCCAGGAGGCAGAGGCTGCAGTGAGCCAAGATCACACCACTGCACTCCAGCCTGGGTGACAGAGCAAGATTCTGCATTTAAAAAAAAAAAAAAAAAAAAAGTTGCACCAAATGTCCTTTCCTCCATTAAGCCATAAACACAGGGGTTGGTGGAATCAAGTGGCCAGAGTCCTAGTCCTAGCTCCCCCACTCACTTACTATGTAACTTTGAACAAGCTGTGCTAATTTTGGGGGGACTTTCCTTCTTCTATTACAAAATGTACAGCTATATGTAGGCTTACATTGTTAGTATTTTCATGGTTTATATTAAATGCAATGGGTTAAAACCATATGTCAGGGACCAGACAACTATGACTTCAAATGTTAGTCCTATTAATTACTTCTTCTGTACCCTTTGAAAAGTTAGCTTCACTAAGTTTCCGATCTTTCAATCTTTAGTCACAAAAATAACAATCTTAATGGAAAGCGTGAGGATTAAATGACGTAAATACATGCAACATGCTTCTCGCTGCATCTAACACATAGTATGTATCTGTCTAGTAAACTGAAGCTACTATAATCAATACTGGTCAAAAGCAATAGCTACTGTTGAAAAACACAGTGAAAAGTGGTGAGACCGATATTCAGAAGCCTTGAGTTTGGATACAAGAAAGATCTCAGTTCCTTAAGACACATGAAGTATGTGCGTGCTATTTCTTCAGTCACCAAGATGTTATCTGCCTGCTCCTCCCAAAATGGACATCATTAAATAATAGAAAAGTAACAAAACAAGCAAATCAGGGAATCTGGACTGTGTCTACTGTTACAGAATACAAGCCTTTCATGCTGAGAAGCTCTTCACTTGAGCTACAATAAAACCAAAACTATCCTGATGATAGCAAAAGAGTACTATCTATGTGCAATGCAATTTGCTAAACCCCCGACAAGAATTATTTCATTGAATTATATCAACAGTATATGAAGTGGATAATACTTATTATTCCCATTTCTCAGATGACAAAACTAAGAGGTAGAAAGTTTAATAACTTGCCTACAGTACATGGTTATTAAGTAGCAGAGCCTGTATCTGAAACCCAATGTGCCTCACCCAAGTCCTACTCTGAACCATTACATTGAGTGTGAAAAGAAGGGGCTACTGACATGCCATTAGGAAGGCATGGGCCTGTTTTCCCTAACCATGTTCATAATTTCACACAGAGGCACTCAACTTTCTGCCCTTGTCCTTCTTGAAAGGACAGCACAAACTCTGGGGTGACCAGCTGATCTAAGAGCAGGTACATGCTGCAATTCTAACAAAGCCAACAGGACTTCCACAGATGGAACTTATACCTTCAGACTCCATCTCCACATTTTCACAGCTGTTTGGTGCCTAAATTCCTAAGCTGCTTTTCTATAAATGAATTTAGGAAATTGAGGTAAAAGTGGGTGCCTTTCTCTGAATTAAAACTTTCCCTCGCAGATACAGAAAACTGACACTATATTCTATTTCTTAAAGGAAAAGAGGTTTCTGAGAGTCCTGTGCAGTGTCAAAAGCACTTTCCAGAGACCACCCTAGAGGAATCAGGGCTAAAAAAGAGAAGAAGTTAAGATACACCTGCAAATCCAACTGAACCAATCCATTCAACCCAGATCTGATCAATCACATTTTATATAAAGAGGGTCAGTGTCTACACAGTATTTTATTCACTTCCTGTGTTTGATAATTTTTGTTGACATGCATGGGAAATGTTGACAATAAAGGCTATGATCTTACATCTCTGAATCCTACCTGCATACTAATAAAATTAAATTTAAAAACTTCTTACAGAATAGCACTCTAAACAGTTTACATAAATCTGAATTTGTTGAATCATGAAGAATGACAGGCAAAGGTGAACCTCATTGTTTTAAAACTATCATCCAAATCACAAGGGCTTTTCTGAAGCACAATCATTTAGGAGATTTCTGAAGTGTGTGGGACACAAAGAAGAGAAACAGGGATCGACAAGTTACTGAGAATTCACCATTGCAGGCACAGTTAAGGGTAAGTGCTTTTATGCCTTTTATCCTTTTGTAAAACTTATTTCAGGCCAGGCACAGTGGCTCATGCCTGTAACCCCAGCACTTTGGGAGGCCGAGGCAGGTGGATCACCTGAGGTCAGGAGTTCAAGACCAGGCTGGGCAATATGATGAAACCCTGTCTCTAAGAAAAATGCAAAAATTAGCCAGCCGTGGTGGTGGGTGCCTGTAATCCCAGCTATTTAGGGGGCTGAGGCAAGAGAATCACTTGAACCCAGGAGACGGAGATTGCGGTGAGCCGAGATTGTTCCATTGTGCTTCAGCCTGAGTAAAAAGAGCGAAACTCCATTTAAAAAATATATATATATTTCGTCAAACTGATGAGAAAACTGAGTATCAGAAGCCTATCCTTACCCATGATCTCACAGTTATTTCTAAAAATCCATCTTTTCCACTGGGCGCAGTGGCTCACATCTGTAATCCCAGCACTTTGGAAGGCTGAGGCAGGTGGATCACGTGAGGTCAGGAGTTCAAGACCAGCCTGGCCAACATGGTGAAACCCCATCTCCACTACAGATACAAAAAATTAGCTGAGTGTGGTGGCAGGCACCTGTAATCCTAGCTGCTTAGGAGGCTG